GGGGGGGGGGGGTGGACAGACAATGTGACGGCCCTATACGCCTTCTAGCGCAACGAGCGGTGATGATGATGATGACGATGATGACGATAAGTTAAAAGAGGATAGCCTTCGTGAAGCACCCTCCCACTCAAACGGAAGGAAGGGTATGGATACACTTTGGCTAAAAGAGGAAGACCAGCCAGTTGTCAAAACTGTCATAATTAGTAATTTAAAGTTATTATCATTTTTTTCTTTCCTGTAATTATTGGGAGGAGATTAACTGATCTAATATAACAGAATTCGTTTAAGTTCGCGTGCAAACGCCAAAATTTCTCTTCAGGGTTTTAACTGTATAACCTTTGCCTACGTAAGTGCTCACCCTAAGAGAGCAAGGTTATACAATCTAGGAATAAAGCGTTGCTTTTCGTTTCCTATAAAAATTGCCTCCATCGGGCGTTCACCATATCTCCTCTTCCACATTTTTTACATCCCCTAATACACTGGGGGTCAAAACCTATCTTTTTTACGTGAAGGCTGCTTGCACTGAGATGATACTGAATTTGTTTAGATAGCGTGCAAACGTCTAATCTTCTGCTCTCAACGAAGCATAAGTTATGAAATAAATGGGGAAAATTTCTAAAGAAACTGTGGAGCTGCATCGGTGGGAGAGTAAAGCAGGTAATTTAGTGTTGACAACTGAGTTGAAAATGTAAATTGGCCACCGTGAAGAGTAAAAAGACTGACGTTTCGAGCGTTAGCCCTACGTCAGAGCGATTGAAGCTATGAAAGACTGAAATTACCAGTTCGACCACAGGCATCTTAAGCTCACGTCTCGAGAAAAAGCAAACGATTAATTCATGAAACCGTCAACTGTTGCGTAATTCGGTGCTAAGTTACGAGAGGAACCGTTGAGAATTTGAACGCATTACATGAATAGTATGGGGAACGAAATAGGTTCGTTTTACAAAGATATGTATTTTGAAATATGAACATTTCACACTTAAAATCATTAGCACTCACTCACATCTTGTGTGTCTGTTGTGGTTTCCGGTGTTCTCTGCCATTTTAAGCTTGCTTTCCTCCCTCGGACAAGCATTTCCTTTTTCCCAAAAGAGTCCACCATAGGTCACTTGAAGTACTAAAAAATTTAATGTCTGCGTAACTTGTGCAACTTTTCTGTTTCCTTTTCAGTGACAAGCCATGGCAGTTTTCGCTGTGATTCCTATTGTTAAGCCCGAGTTTTCCGAAATCTGCGGAAATACAGCGCCTTAGATGTTTCTGCCGATGTTCAAAAATTTTTCCAAACCATGCCGCACTAAGAAAAGTGTCTCGTTAACAGATTTTGACCACAATGTAAACAGATTCTCGCAAAACGACAAGCTTACATTGGTTTTATTTTACAAGAGTAAATCTCCCGTCACACTCTAAATTCTTGAAACGTTTTCAAGGGAATCATAACACCGACTGTAGCTCTGAATGAAACACTGCACCATTGCCAGATGAATAATTCTTTTAATGTTTTTTTTTTCAATTTTCAGCCTTCACTTTTGAGAAGGGGCCATTGCAAATTGATCCCGGGATGGAAAGAGGTTGACGCGTGTGAATTTTACAGTAAGGCGCGTAAGGTTAGGTGACATTTGACTCGTGGTACGTGACAAACTGGTTCTTTTTTTTTTAAGTTTTATGTACACGTGACGGGTGAAATTGTGTAAAATCCACGAATGAAACGGGATCAGGACACCCTTTTGCTAACCTCTGAAAGCACTCATGTTTTGGTGATAGAGACAGTTACAGGAATTACGTCATGAGTAGTCTCTTCCTTTCCCGTCGGTCAGTTACGTCACGCAGGACTTCTCACGTTAACTGACGACACTGAACAAAGCTTACAAAATAGACTAAGGCAAAAAAATAGTCAGCTTGAAAGGAGAAGGACTAAGGATGTCTCAGGATGAAAAAAAATAAAAAATTATAACTGATATTCAATGTGGCTAATTTATTCTATATCTTTTAGATAAGACAACGTGGTATATCCGCTCTAATTATAAAAAATTTATTCCAAGTTAAACAACAAAACAAAAATTGCTCAACCCTAGAGTTCTCGAGGAGAAATGATTCTCAGAGTTGGTAAACATGATTTCCTATGTATTCATAGAAAAAAAAGCCCATAGTTTCCTATTTCCATCGTAAACACTCTCTAAGCAAATACATATTAAGACACGCATTATCTCAGCTTGCAATTTGTATAATATATGCGCTCTAATTATAAAATATTTTATTCCAAGGTTAGATAACTTGACAAAAATTGCTCAACCCCAGAGTTCTCGAGGAGAAATGATTCTCAGAGTTGGTAAACATGATTTCCTAAGTATTCATAGAAAAAAAAAAACCGCCCACTGTTTCCTTTTTCAGCTATTTTTCACCGTGAACACCGTCTAAGCAAATACATATCAAGACAACGTATTATCTCAGCTTGCAGTTTTTAAAATAATCTGTCTTTAAATTGCATTGATAAAGCTGCAAATGCGATTGGCCCTCGTTGTTCAGAGTCGGATCTTTCTATCTATCTTTTTTATCAATCTTATCTATCTTTTAGATAAGACATCGTGATATGTCCGCTCTAATTATAAAATATTTTATTCCAAGGTTAAACAACTAAACAAAGATTGCTCAACCCTCGCTGTTCAGAGTGCCACAGGAAGAGTAAAAAACTCAAACTCTTAAACCCGTTTTAAATAGTAAAGCTTCTATAAACATTTTCATTCTTATGACCAGTCTAACTAGATAATACAAAGTTTGGTTAAAATTTGGAATCGACCATCCGGTTAAAACAAGGAGATTCAAGTTCAGTATCCAATGTTACTTACTTTATGTAAAGAACTCGATTTTCGCTCCAATTGGCCAAGATCTAAGCAAAGTTGATAGATAAAAGAAATATCGAATTTAAAAGAGAGAATACGACAGAGAATATGGTGGAGTGAAATAAACAGAGAAAAACTTTGATAGAATGGAATATTTATAGCCAATTTTAAGAAAAATGGAATGCAAGCTGTTTAAATTTTTTTTTCTAAACATGACCAAATTTATTAATTGAAGCCCAAGGCTAGGATTGACACAAGAGTTAATACCTTGAATTAAGAGGAGTGTTCAATAGGGGTTATATCATTCTGATTGGATGAGGCGACATAAACGACAAGTTAAAATCGAGAGCCTGCCTGGCATTATATGAGGATATTGCGCTCACAATTACATCGAACGTTATACTTACTTTTGTTGGTTGCGTTTTGTTAATAACGGTATCTTTGGCGAGCACAAACGTCGCCGTGTGTGAGACCCAAAAGAAGAAACACAATGGCTTCACCAGAACAACAACTAAACGCGATGGCGAAAGAAATGCAGTCGAGAAGCACAGTTACAATCGTCTTAGAGTCATTGGTTTTTGCCTTGATTTTATTATTGATCTTCGTTGGAAACGCTGCCACTCTGCTGATTATTGCGTTTAACAGCAGAATGAGAACAACAACGAATATGTTCGTTGCATCACTGGCCATTTCTGATTTTCTTTTGGGAGTGCTTTCAGCGGGTCCTGTCGCTTATCCTGCGCTACTGCTGTCCGAATGGCCTTTTGATGATGCAACATGTCAGTATCAAGGCTATATCGCTGTAACCTTGGCAGTTGCGTCGACACAAACTTTAGCCCTTATGGCAGTGAACCGATATTTTCGTATTGTCAGACCAGCAAAGTACCAAGCCTACTTCACCATGAAGAAAACCCTTATCATGATTCTTGTTTCCTGGTTTTATTGCATGTGGGCTCCATTGCCATATCTGCTTAGTGGTTATAAGATGGTGTTTCACCCTTTCAAATTCTTTTGCTTTCTCCAGATCGACAGCGGACCGTTCACGGCGTTTTTAGTCACTGTGTACGTTGGTTTGCCGACTTTCATCATAGCCTTCTGTTACCTAAGAATATTCCAAACTGTTCGAAGCCACAGTAATAATTTTCAAGCTGCAAGTGGGTCACACAATACAGTTAACGTAGAGGAAATCAGGATAACGCGCACACTATTTGTTATTGTCGTCTTCTTTAATCTCTGCTGGACTCCTATTCTGGTGATAGACATGGTTGACACCGTTCAAGGGAGGTGGTCGTTACCTCGTGAAGCTTACGTAGCGTACAACTTTTTAGCTGTGCTTAGTAGTGCTCTTAACCCTGTCATATATAGTGTAATGAATAAGAACTTTCAACAAGAGTATCTGAAGATTCTCCGGTGCAGATATTGTTGCTCACAACCAGTTGTAGAGCCACTGAACTCAGGCGCAAGAGCCACTGGTTTAGTTGCGACAGCCACTTGAACTCTGCCAGAGTCATTTTTCCGGCGGCGGGAAAGATGTCCTTAATTTAAAGGAGTCTACAAGATGTAAGCTAAGTAGGAAAAAGAAAAATAAATGCGGTAAAGTAGGTTGAAAGGGAACAAAAATGGTTGAGGGTGAAAAAGACTCAGACGAATTTGAAAAGATAAACTTGAGCGGATTTAATTCAGAGAGCTCTCCGGGCGATCTGTCAGAGCTGATTGTGGGCGTTATGCAAGTACTCGTTTTTGAGGAATCACTTCTCAAGATAAAAAAAAAAAAAAACCTAAAAATAATCCTTACATCTGCAGGGCGTTGTGCAGGCAATTGAAAATTAACTTTGATAACCATGTGATAAAGAAAAAAACCTTCGATGTGAAAAAAGACATCTGTTCAACAGCGCATTGCACCTGCCTATGGTCTAATTATCATATGTATTCTCTCGTGTATTAGATATCGCCTTTTGCGGTATGGGTGACCTTATACGTATCAACCCTTTACACCTAAACATCAGTGTTCATATTCTCCGTACTGTTCTTTATATATTTCCTGTGGTGCTGACAAAGAGAACTTGTTTAACATTCAAGAGCTTCTTTAGTTGGTAACTATTTCCTTTATTCTCCTGACATTAAAGTTAATTTCAGGGATGACATTGTCAGGAGAGATTAGATGCTAGTCACTTTTAGGGGCGAAAGATTTAAGAAGAAAGCTCAGCAATCTTACATGACTTTGAGCAGAGCCTCTATAAAGAGAAATACAGAGAGCACCAATGCTTAGGATTAATTCTAGATAGGAACAAAAACGAAAAGAACAACAGAGGGACTTAAGTTCGTGTATCTATTCCGTAAAGTTGACGCATAGCGAGTTGTAGATAGACTAATGGCTGTCGAGAAAATTTTACTAACGGCCACGTCAGGTAAAGGATTGAAAGTTTGCACAAGTTCGACCTACTTGCGAACTCGCCTCGCAAAGTGAGGCAACGACATAAATCTGTAGTCAAATCTCAGTCGTTGTATGTGCAGATTTATGATACATATCTAGCCTTCAAAACTTGTTTAAGAAGCATGGTCGGCCAATTTTGACCCATTCTGGTCCATTTCCCTCCATATGAACAGGACGCTATTAAAGTCCAGCCCCTTGCCAAATGATAAACATTTAGCTAACATTTTTTAAAAGGTAAATTCGTCGCCTTTTGCTCGATATAAGGGATAACGACAAATTAAAATTAGAAAATAGTCATTTAGTGCACTTTTTATCTATTCTCTTTGACCTCTTTGTCTCCATTCAGACCAATAATGCAACAGTTATCAAGATTTTTCTATTTTGAGTTACTCAGTTCAAAAAAGAGTTTGCAAAAAACTTGCCGGAGCACTGTTCTCCTTCTCTTTCCACATTCTGTTCGGCATAAACTATCACTTCCTTTACTGATCTCTCTCTTGCTCAAATTTCGTTGTCCTGAACTGTTGTCTATAAATAAGTGCATGCGTGCCACAACCCTGAATTACTCCTTTAAAATTTAGACCATATGACCATACCTTCATGAATCAAAGTCAATTGTCAATTCTCAAAAACTCTTTCGCGAAGAGTTGTTCAATGGATTAACATTATTAATTATTCTAATCTTCATCCGTCGGTTAAAGAAAAATTATTTAGGTTGTTTACTTCCTCTTCGATTATGAACAAAGCTCTCTAATGTAGATTCCATTTTACATATATGCGCTATTACAATTATAAATTGAAATATATACAGCTAACTTCAAAATCGATCAATTACTCTCTCGCGCTTCGTAGAAAAAAACTGAGCATTAGAGCGATCTTTTAGCAAGTGGCAGATGTCGGTTTGATCTTCTTTCGTCTTTCCATTAGTGCAAACGGCTCAACCGTCGGTTGCTTGCGGCAGTGTCTACATCGAAATAATTGCAGATACTCCCTTCGAAAATTGTTGTTAAGTAAACCGTATATAATAGGGTTTAGAGCACTGCTAACTGTAGCTAAGAAGCTGTATGCTACGTACGTTTCCCGAGGGAATATCCACTTGCCATCTATTGTGTCAACAATGTCTATCAACATTACAGGGATCCAGCAAAGATTGAAAAACACTACAATGATAAAAAGTAAACGAGCTGTCTTAATCTCTTCCACGTTTAGTTGGTTACCTCCAAATACAGTGCTATGGACATTATTAGTATGGCTTCGTACAGTCTGAAATATTTTTAGGTAACAGTACATTATAACGAGAGTTGGAGGGCCAACGTAAACAGTCACCATAAATGCCGTGAATGGTCCGCTATCGATCTGTAGATAACAGAAGAACTTGAATGGATGAAACACCATCTTGTGACCACTTAGGATGTACGGCAAAGGAGCCCAAACGGAATAGAACCACGACAAGCCAATCATGATGACAGTTTTCTTCTTGGTAAAGTAACTGCGGTACTTCTCTGAGCGGACTACTCTATAATATCGGTTCACTGCCATTAGGGCCAATGTTTGCATCGATGCAAGGGCCAAAACGATAACAGTGTATCCATGATACTGACAAGTCGTGTCACTGAAAGGATATTTAGACAACACAAGGGTTGGAAAACCGATGGGAACTGTTGCTAAAATTCCTAACAAGAGGTCCGTTATGGCGAGTGATGCAACGAACAGATTCGGAATAGTTCGCATGCGACTGTTTAATGCAATAACTACCAGGGTCGCTGAGTTACCAACAACCAAAAGGAGCAAAATGAGCGCGTAGAGTCCTGCCTCTAGGACAATTCTGACTTTGCCCCTCGAGTTGAGCTCCTCTAGCATTTCTGCCAATTGAATATCTGACGTCTTCATGATTTCGATTCAGAGTCCGGGAATTGATTCTTTACAGATTCAGATCCATGTAGCTGTAAAACCGACAAAGGCAGCTCATCTAAATGCAATTAAGACACGACCGGTGCTATATTTGCGTTCTAAATACAGTGATGTCAAATTTGTTGTTCTGTCCAATAGGAAACAGTCAGAAGTTCCCTCTAAAAGCGAACAGGTCGGCAGGTGTGTGTTTCTCGTTAAATTAAATGATTGTTTTGGTGTTTCTGTTTACTCTAGAGCTCTTCGCTTTTTCGCTGACACTGAGTGAATAAAGAATGGCCTCACTAAATTATGTTAGTAACCCTGTTTACAATAAAGTTGGACGACTAGGTGACCGATTCCGAAAACACCTTCGCGACGTAGAAAGAATTTACAAGGACGCATCCAAACCAGTCGCTAGACACTTAAATCTCCCTGATCATTTCAAACAACATATGGCAGTTTGCGGCCTTTCATTTGATCTAGGCAGTTCGGAAAGCCGCAAAACACTAGAACAAAACTATATCTTCCAAATCGGCTCTCTTAATCCCCACAGTATCAACAAGCGCTTTTCATTCAAGTAATTTATTCTTGTTTTCTTGTCACCATATTCAAACCCAGTAGCGTAGCTCCATTTTCTGCATATAAACCCACACACATCTCACAATTCCTCCAATCACTCTGACGAAGGGCTAACGCTCGAAACATCAGCCTTTTTACTCTTTACGGTGGCCAATTTACGTTTTCAACTTAGTTGTTAACACTAAATTACCTGCCATACTCTCCCACCGACGCAGCACCACAGTTTCTTTAGAAACTTACTCTCTTTATACAATAAAGTTCGCTTGGCTCAATTTTTTTCTCCGCGAGCACGCCTATGGAGATTACCTTGATAGTAGTACTTAACTAGGTCTCACTGTGCATTGCAGCTCATCAGCTGGCTCAGATTTTTTTCTTTCCGCTATTAAATTAATTGCATATAATTGTTATATATTAGTTGTGTGAAGAGTGCGCGTAAATCATTTATAACATGTAGCATATTCGCCCCAAGTCTAATTTCGCTTTTTCGATTGTTTCCGTCGAATTTCGGTGGTTTTGTTTTCCACTTTCCAGACTTATACAATCTTGCCGAGTTTTAACATTTAAAAAGCTTAATCCTCAAATTCCTAATTATAAATATGATGAATCGTTGCGTAAATGACAGAAGAGAGGCACAAGAAAATTACTTTCTAATCAAGTATTCCGTGCAATAAATCTTTTATATAAGACAGTGCGATATTATCCATAATATGGAGGAACAAGAAGTGGTAGGTTACCAATCTTTATACATGAACATTATAGGATTAAGTTTACTGACATATGCCGTGCATAACACTAATCTCACAAATCAAAACTGTTTTGCTGGACTAAATGTACAAAAACTTTCCGTAACTTTGATTATAGGCTGTGGTGACAAAAGCATGCACGGTATGGAAAGTACTAGTTGTGAATGACGTCGGTGTGCGGCATGAAAAAAAATGAAACTGTGCTCAGCCCTTATAGTCCTGACAAATAGAGTCGATGTCAGCAAGAATAACAAACATTATTTCAAACTTCATCTTTGCTTCTGCCACTAGGTTAGTCTTAGTCCAGATACATGCCAGGTCCCGTATGAATATGCAATTATCTTTTATGTCACTGCTGTTTCGACAAAATTGATGTTTCTAAGCCCTCGCTCTTCTTTAAAATTTGAATAATGCTTCCGCCATGATGACGCCCTTCGTCAACGTCCTTTTGGCCACCTGCCCTATATTTCACGTTTGTAGGCCAATCACAAACATTTAGGTCAGGGTTGAACAGGAGTCCCTCTGGACAATGCTTCCAATAGGTGATACCATTGTCACATTGATAGAAGTTGCTGAAATCGTTTGGGTCAACATATAAACCATCGGCTTTTCCATTGCAAAACTTTTCATCTGGTTCTAGGTGGCAAAGAATAGCGATGGAATTTATTACTATGATGAGGGAACTTGAGGACTGAAACGGAAATTTTTTTATCTTAAGAATGGCCCTGAAAGTGCGCAATAAACATCTTGAAAAAAATCTTATCATTGTTATCATATTAAATGGAAAGGTGTACATCTTTACATAACTTCCAAGAAAAAATAAAAAGGTGTGTTAACTGAAAATTAAGGCAATAATAAAATACACCCTTTAGCTAAAATTGTCCCACTGTTTAGAATGGGACCGGAAAGTAGGAAGGCCACTTAACAGACCACTGCTTTTATCTGAACCTCTCGCCTCCACACGATAAAAATTACGAAAAAACCAAAAGGAGGACTGCATAGAGCCAGCGACAGATGATGGGGATTTCCACTTGGATACAACTTTTAGTGGAAAAATACAGAGCAGCATGGTCGACAGCTTACTGTTCATATCTTGGAGGAGAGAAGGGATGTATTAAAGCAAGTCACACTGATCAGTGCCTACCTCCAGGAGGTTTGGAAGTAGGTGATGGTGAGGGTTTATTATTTCCCCCAGCCGTTGTCAAAGGCGCTGAACTGCCACCTGCGGATGACCCTCCTGCCGAGGTTGGTACCTTGGATGTTGGCAGAGGTTGACCACCAGACGGACTTGTACTTGCAGCCGGGGTAGGCTTAGTACCTCCCGCCGTTCCTGAAGCTGGTGCATTCGTTGGACCGATAGCTATAGATGTATAGGTAAAGTCAATTTTAAGTCAGTAAACTTATCCCGGTTTTTTTGTGGCATTAAAAAAATTAGGAGTATTTTCATTAGACAATAGTCGATATCAGTGGCTATCATTTAATGCAGCTAGATATAATAATCAAGACACTAGTGATGAGCCAGTATGACCAGGAGCTGTTGTTCAATATCCTTCCCTACCCCCCTCCCCCCGTCCTCCTTAGACCCATCTCAGTAGCCTGTAACTGAACTGAACTTTTTGATCGATACATTACTACGCAGAAGAGATAAATGTGTGACTAGAACTATGGTAACGACATGTCACCATAATCAGACGGTTGTTGAAACAACAGTGTATAATGATGGTGTGGTAACATAGAAGAGAATGCACTTTACAATATGAACAGACTCGCTTTGGTGTTTAAAAAAAAAAAAGTCGGCTCCTGCTCTTTATTGAAAGCATATTTTAGATGAGACGATCAAACTCCCCTCGGCATTTCTTGCAGATGTAAAACTGATTGCACAAATTGGTGCCTCTGATTATGTTGTCCATTGAGGTGTTTTTTAATTACAGATAAGTTGACTCTGCCGGCTCAAATAGACTCCACTCCAGCGAAACTCTTCTTTTACTAAGTTAAATGTTTTTTTTCTCACACTTTCGTTATTTTTTATTTAATGATGTAGATCAAGGGATGACTTGTCGTTACCAAACAATGTTGTTTAAGTATCTTGGATCAATATCAGTATCTGGGCAACTGCTCACCTACCCCTCCCCTAACTCAATAACAGTCAATTGACAACAAGTTAAGGTTAATGTTGAGTTAGGGGAGGGGTAAGTGGGCAGTTGCCCAGATACTGATATTGATCCAGTATCTTAAACGTTTTACCCATTCTCTCATTACGTTACATCGAAGCCAAGTTAGATTTAAATATATGTGGTATGGGATTCTTTTCATTTACTGACGTTGTTCACTTTTTCCGTCTTGTCCGTAGCATTTTATGCTCTCTGGATTGCTGTCTACAACAGATATGAAAGGCAGAAGATGCATATTATTGTTGCTGCGGTTCTAAGTTTTATCCATTAATTTCAATTTCAAAGGAGGGCACTCAGCTTGAACTGAGTTGGTTTGGTTCGTCATGGAACCCCATTCTGGCCAGGGTGGCTCGTACCAAAGTATCAGCTTTCTCCTCACCCAGTTCCCCTCGGGCCACCAGAAAGGCTGACATCTCTGGCTACTTAGTTGTGGGAAGCAATCGTCGTTACTTGCCCGCCATCCCCCCTTCCAAACTGGTCACTACATACTGAAACGACGAGAGGGTAAAGGCTGCAACTAACAGCCACAAGAATGGATCAAGCTAAAGGATTTGTTTTCTTTCATAGGATGTCCCCCTAAAAAATTACTTCCAGATAATTCCCGATGTCCAAAGTCCCAGATAATAGACATGCGACATCTAATTTTTTTCTTAAGCCACATAGTCAAGCCACATGTAGATTCATTCCTAGCCTATACCTTAATTACAAGAGAACACTGAGGTTTTCCTATGGAATAAAGTCTATAGGGAGGAATTCACGTTACCTCCCGGTAATAGCTTTACCTGGATTGAACCCTGAGTACTGTATGTTCGTGGGAATATTCACATCATCTGTAACTTCAGAAACCGTGGCTACCAGTTGCTCGCCACTGATGCTGGTTATCCTAAATTTCTTTGGAAATTTTATCTCTCCTAAGCCGTTGATGGTAAAATAGTTATCTGCCGTTCGTTTCATACAAACCCACTTGTTATTGTGCTCGATCTCCATACCAACAGTTACCACCCTAATAAGTCCGATTATAAAAAGAAAAAAGGAAAAATAAATTAATAAAAATAAAACTGACGAAGTAGGAAAGAGAAGGTCTTAAAACAGTCATTGATTTATACATGTATGTTTATCTAATCCATAGAGCAATTTTAAAATTGGTTCAGTTCGTTGAAAATCATTTCAATTCAGCAAGTTTTCGGCTGTAGTTAGAACCTGAGATGAATAGATATAAAAATGTACTTATGACGTTGGTTTTTGGTGTTTTAAAATAGTTTGTTTTTGTCAACTGCATGAGTTGGCCACCGTAAAGAATTTTTTAAAGCTGAAGTTTCGAGCGAAAGCCTTTGGCCAGAACGAATAGCTCATCATCAGACGAATGGCTAACGCGCAAAACTTCAGCTGTAGATACTGTTTACGGTGCCCAATTCAGCAATTCAGTAGATAAAACCAAATTATCCTGTTATAAACCCCACTGACGCAGCACCTAAGTTTTTGTAGAAACTTACTCCCTTTACTCATTGCTTGGTATTTTAGTCAGAATTAATTCGACTCAAACAGGAGCCCATTACTTAATGGGCTGCTGACTCAAACAAAGATGTATCTTAACTTCAGTCAACAACCATAGGTTACCTTCTTTGCGGTTTGAAGTTAACCTCCACTCCTCGAATATAATTATTTAACAGCACTATGATATAATTCGTTTTAGGAAAGGACTACTGTTCGTCCACTGTACTAACTTTGAGTTCCGAGCTTGCAGTTTTATATACCAGTTGTCGCTGCCGGAAAACCTGAGCTGAATGTTTCCATCTTTACCTGGCACAGTGGGGCACTCGATTGCCTTGAATGAAGTCTTGTACTTACCAAAACCTTTTCTGTAAAAATCGAAACCAGCTGAATGGAGTAAAAAACAAAAACAAAAATACAAATTAATGGCAAAAATCAAAATTTTATAATAAAGTGAAAACGAAGAAAAAGGAGGAAAGAAGGTAAGAAGTCTAAATGAATCAACTGTCACTCATGCGCATGAGCACTGCACTGCTGATAGCAAACCTCTGGCAAACCGAAGCATTTTGGAGTTAATCCAACAGTGATAGAACACAATTTCTATCGATGTTATGCTTTACAAACCCCAGTTTATCTCGGCTCGATCGGTACATTTTCTTCTTGAGGAGCCTCCTTGAAACTTCGAGCGCAAAACGCAATTTGAGGAAATCAAAATATTCGTAAATTATTCAATAAATATCTAGATCTGAACTTTCGCAATTATTTCTAGGAGCTAACTTTGTCGGTAAATTTAGCTGTTATTGCTATCGTGGTTTTTATTCAAAAGCGCACGTGCTCAAAATTTTACAACAGACTTATAACCGCTGTACCTTGTTTGCATCCTCCACAGAGGTCCCAAATGGTTGCCTTATAGGTGCCTTTCATCGGTGTGGGTCCCCCGCTGGCGGCTGTGGCTTGTTCCCCGTTGGCCTTAATTTCAATGCACATACCGCACCCGAGGGACTCCTGATAGTCACCTTTACCAGCTGCAACCAGCATCCAATCAGGCTGCTTGTTCAGCGGTGATACAGGATCTAAAGCGCATGCTCCACCTCCTGGGTAGTCATTATAGTACGTGCTCTTACCAGAAAGAGAAAGTGAGAGAGAGAAAAAGAGAGAGGGAGATAGATAGGTAGCGATAATTAACACTAAATTTAAAAGAAAGAATTACGTAACATGCAAATAAGAAATTATAGAAAACCTTTCTCATGTTACACTAAGGTAAATACATAAAATACAACTGGAAGTGTAGTTCCAAATTTTTCTTCTATTCACGTTGGCAGCTATGTATTAAAAATTGCCTTTAGTTAACAATATTTCTGGAAATATTTTGGCCTGTGTTACTTTACATCTCTTCGGGAACGCTAGGTTATCACAAATCTTGTTATTGTTGTAAATACTGTTTGTTTGTTTTCTGGTTTGTTTGTTTGGATTTCCATTGGCTGGCTGCAGAAAAGACGCCAAAGATGATTCTAGGCGCTGGCACTCATGTTTATGTGACCTATCTTACGCTATCAAACCTTCAAGACTGACAGAATCGTTTCCAGTCGTTGCATCGAAAAACATCACTTACAAGTCCACTAGTGACTTTTGCATAACGACTCCATATTGCTTTCACATTTTCCATGCTTGTTTGCGCCTAAAATCGGAAACGAAGAAGAATAAAATGAATCAAGGTAGACAAATTGATGAACTACCACCTAACGCGTTTAAATTTTTAAATTTGGCGTACCAAACGAGGAATTCCTGAAATGGCGGGAACCTGGGTATTCTAACTTACTTGAAGGATGGTTCCTTTAAGGCATAGGAGAACGCAGATAAGCAACGAAAACTTCAAAACATCCATCTACAATAAAAGAAAGATATATGAGATCACAATTATGGACCCTACTGGTCCTGCGCACTCTTCAATACAAAAAAAAAAGAGCAAAAATCCTTATTTTACAGAACAGGGGTTCTTACCTATAACCTGCCTCTTAAAAACGGTCAAAATTTCGCAAAACTTCGCCGCACTGGCTACTCAAAACAATGAAACGAGAAGACGTGTATTAATTTTCAATTAATAAATGGATTGTATCCATACTTCTTTTATACCCTCTGACAAAGTTTGCCCAAAGTAAAATGATGTAAGAAGGCTTGAGTTTCATAAACATTCTTGACGAGAGGTTTTTAGTCAGTTGAACTCGGACTTTTCCATCGTTAAACGGAAATCGAGGAAATATGATATGTGAAATCTGGAGACGCAAGTTCGGACAATTCAATTGAGATTTGCTCTTTCGAATTACAGTTGTGCAGCGCATAATTTATTCCCATGAAAAGCCCCTCTTCCTTCCGCACGACTCGCCCATAAGATTCGGGAATTTAGGATCCTGGGGAAAGTAGGAAGAGAAAATTTCTGGCTTGATGTCACTACAAGATCGACTGTTTCTCCGAGGTTCAGTCTATTACATCAGGTAAAAGAAGTAACTTATTGGAAATCACTTCTCGTCCTTATTGTTGTTGTGGATGTGCATTGTGTGAGCCCATGGCTTGAAGTAACAGAAGGTTGAGCATAGAAAACGCTTTAAATATATTCACTTACTATATGAAAAAAATCTAGACGATATCTTTTTCCATTTACGGAGCTTATATTAATTACATTAGCGTTTATCTCCCGCTTACGAGTACTGAAAACTTTCACGTATGTTTACTTTGTTTTGTACTTGACCATGCCAACGGACGGAATCGTACTAACATCAAATTTAATTCACTTACCTGGTATTTCGTGGGTGGCGAGTTCTTCTGTTTTCTGCTTTTCCGACCAAGTTTTTGCCTATGAGGGGCTTTCGTTGTAAGCAGGTGGAAGAACTCGGAGGGTACGCCATTATGAAAAAATTAACTGGTGATTCTTTCATCGGATGACTGCATCCGTCTGAAGCACAACAGGAGAGTTCTTTGTATTTTATCTGACGGTATTCAAGTCTAAAGGAACATTTTTGCGGGTTATGGTGATAGATTTCCTTTTCTACTCCGCCCAGCAACAGACGTCACTTATTTTTCCCTCCTTTTCGTTTCTCCTTGGGTGGGGAGGGTGACGGCTACACGTAGACTATTCAAACCCAGTTTTAGTAACAGGCAGCAGTTCGATGTTATTTGATAGGCCGAATTCTACACGCAGTTTGATTGGTTTTTACTTGGAGGACAGTTTGCTTCTTTTACTAAATAAAGAAAAACATATTCCATGTCGCCGTGGATTTTTACAGTAATAGAGCACATAAGACGTCAAAATATAATAAGAACATCAGTGACACACTGTGGTACTGGTAACTAGATACGGGATATTCTGATTGTGTAAAGGAGAGCAGAATACAATATGGCGGTTTTGTGCAACAAATACTACACATTTGCCTTGTGCACCACTCTTTGTTCTTACCACCCTTTGACGTCAACTGTGATCTATTACTTACAAACGCATGTCAACATGGAATATATTCGTTTTTTTTGTAAAAAGAAAAAAAGCGTGGTGGAGGAAGGAGAGTCAAAAACTAAATTTTTCTTAGTCACGAACACATAAAGCTACCACTGAGAATCTTTTCACGAAGTTAAACTGTTGTCGTCGTATACCTTCCGTGTAGGAAAAAAGGTATCTTTCGAAAAAAATTTCTGAAAAACTTATCAAGAGTGTGGAGGCCCAGAGTCATCAAACAATTGGTGCCTTGATGTGAAAAAGCAATTGAGCATCAACAACCCGGTCAGCAATTGCCTGAAAAAAAAAAGAGGGGGGGGGAAATATTACGCCTGAAACTTTATTTTCTCGTTGTCAACATTTCAAAACTGACGGCACATACGTAAAATTGACTCTTACCAAAACTTCATGGCTGAGGACCCTATTTCTTTTGGTTTCCCACATGGGCCCCTTTTTCGCTTACTCTCTTTAGTCCCTAGTTTCAGTTCTTTTCAAGGTTGCGTCACAAGCCTAATGTCTGGTTTGCGGAAATAGCAGAGACGGACGCTAAGGTGCACAAATCACTAGAAATTCATTCTGTGACTTTGTTTTCTAACTACTTTTACGACATAATTTCGACGACTCAAGAAATTTAGTTGTTTTCTGGTTCATTGGACGCCGTATTACGTCGGATTTTTATGTGAACAACAGAGTGTTCTCATCTGGCATTGTTGGGACATACGATTTATTCTCTCCCACGATTTCAGTTTGAGATCAAAACCTCTTGACTTTTCCTGAGGGTACAGATCACAGAAAAAGTTTATTTACTAAAGACGATCACTTTTTGTGGTGGATTTGTTCAAAATGGAGATGTATTGGGTTATCAAAGCTTCCTTAGAACTCATTTTTGTGATGGCGAGTATGGTTGTGATGTCTTCCGGTAAGTCTGATAATCTATCAGTTACGTTTGTTGGCTCAACACCTCACGTCAGGATTTCTTTTGTACCCAAGTTTGATATTCATATGATGTTCGTGTCTGCCTCATTTACAGGAGTAAGTAAGCTTGAAGCCCTATTTTCTAAATACGTCGAAAGGACGCTTAATTGATAACCACAAGGCAGTTAGCATCGAACTCGTTTCATATGGTAAAAATAAACACATACATGTATGTTTAAGCTTACTTGAACAGAACGTCAATAATGTTCATGTTGCATACAACTGCATCTCCATTAGGTATATAGTATAAAATCGAAAAGCAGCTCTCCGATCACAAAACTGGATTACAAAAGTTCATGTAATATATGAAATATCATGATCACAAATATATCGAATATGGCATATCATGTAGCATGTTGTCGACGTGTTTCTGTCACTACTCAAGGAATCACCAAGAACGATGTTTAGTAGATTTGTTGAAAATGATGTTCAAGTCTGTAGAAAGATTGACTCGTAGCAAAGTTTACATGTACATGAAACTTTGGAAATGTATTCCATTTACAATATGACGTATGTGTTAAAATGCGGAATGCACCTAGTCGCTTACTGCTGCAAAAAATGTGATGAAATATGTTACGAATTGAGCCATTGTGCCGCTAAACTTACTATGCTTGTACAAGAATCAACCAAACTTCAGGATGATGCTTTACCTCTATATCAACTAGTTGTTGGTTTTAAATCAAGTCACCAAGATTTATCCTAGGTAGTCAAAAGGTTTTTGGATAATAAAACTGTGATACTAAGTAGGCAGAATAATGTCATGCTTCCATGCTGAAAATTGAATCTCAAGAATTTGGAAGAGCTGGTGTATTTTTCAGAGTAGAAGGTGAAAATTTAATGTGCTGGTTGCTAGGCCTGTTGCTTGCCTACTTTGACAACCTTATATATTCTGTAATCAGATATTAGTCTTGACTGAAAGTGCTTGAGAAATCAGTTTCTATTAATAATGCTGTACTCAAGTCCCTCATTGCAATATTTTTACCAATCACTTTCAGAGGCTGGAGATTTACCAGCACTACAGCACATGTACATGTAACTGTATAAAGTAAACAAAAATACTAATGAATCAGACCTTGAACAAATTATTGTTGTTAAGTTGAGCTTTCAACATGCCATTTGATGCTACTAAACTTTAATGATATTTCCAACTTTCAATTTGCTACCACTCAATTAGAAAATTACTCCATATTTCTGTGAGTGAAGCTCGATTCCTAGCTTTGTGGGTATTCACTCTATTAAAATAACAAAGGGAAAACTCCAAGTTTTTTATATTGTTCTAATCTAGAAGTAATGCACTGTAAAGTTTCATTGCTGGCATGACAAATGCCGTCCATCAAGTATGGGAAACCATGAAAGTGCCCAATAAATAATCCTTAAAGTGGGGTTGTGGAGAAGAGTGAAGTAATTCTGTTTCAGGGGTCTATTTGCTATATCAGGAGTTCAATCCATTTCCAAGACCAAACAGGTGCTTGTAAATCTGTGGGTTCAAAGTAGAAGTTAAGGAATTGTTGAAATTCATCTCTTTCTGGTAAAGTTACATGTAGCCTGATTATCAAATTCTAACTTGGGATGTAACTCAGGAATCAACCTCTAAATTCACAATGCTTTGCCTTTATTAGCTGATCTTATCATGAAAATATTTTCCAATCAGTTCTTCTGACATGCATTTTATGAACTTTTGAACAATCCCATCTCATGCTTAAGCGATGTTTTGCTATACATTGTTCACAACTGAGAATGTACAGAGGAAGGACCTAAGACCTAACTGTCACCTTTATTTGATTTGGTTATGTTTCTCTCTGTCAATTTCAGCAAATTGCCCAGATCCTGGCTTTCCTGCTCATGGCAATAGAACTGTATCTCCTGTGGATGACGGAACCATCATTAGTTTCTCATGTGATCCTAACTATACTCTCAGGGGAGCCAAAAAGATCATATGCATTAAAGGACGTTGGAATGGGAAAAAACCAATATGCAAGGCATCAGGTATGTATCACCGTTTCCTAAAAATTTGTTGACTTTGAACAAAACAGAGTCTCGTACGTGAACATGTACATAAAAACCTCAGATTTTAGTTGGGAGACCAGTGAAAGGACAAGGTATTTCAATACTTTGTACTGTAGGATGCAACTGGTGAATCTTGTCTTTTGTTCAAAAATCTTTTGATGTGTCCATCTTGTGTATGATGGGGTTCTTTGGGATAAATGGTAGCAGTCACAACATGGAAGTTAAGAATCTGTAGGGTTGAATCATAAGAAGTTGCTGCATGCAGATAATAATCGTAGATGCTCGTTCATTGCTAATTTTCTTCTGCTTCTGAAGATAGGAGCTACATTGTAAGACTATGAGATTAGTGTAACATTCATGTAATGAGCTTAATAAAGATGGAAGTGACTTCTGATGCAAAGTCTTCTGACTACCACTCCCTCTGTGTCTCTAGGGAATACAACACAATTTTTGAGGAGAATGTAGCATTTATCAGGATTCACTTTATTCATGCATTCATTAAATTTTAATATGATACTAATTCAAAATATGACAGTAATAATTTTTGTAATTAGTAATAATGATTGTAATGATAACAAGCTTTATTTGTGGAGGTGAACACCTGATAGTACTAGAAACACTGATTAAAGCTAGGCCCTTCTTGAATATTCTGTTACCAATGATCTGAATCAAAAGGAACACAATTAAAAACCCCAACTGAAAGGAGGAAAACTAGTTACCTTTTTACAAGTATGGTGAAGGAGTTAAACTTAGGGCTAGCAAAAAAAAAAAAGGTCATTCAGAGTGGGATTCAAATCCTGGACTTTATTGTTGGTGCCTCCTTAAACATTTCCCTTAACTCCCAGAAGTGATTCACATGAATCTTCTCTCTATGATATCCATATGTTATCAAGCTAACTAGTAATGAGAATACTCAAACTTATCAGGTAGAAATTGTTATCTTGATCTAACATCAAATTCTCATAACTAATTTACAAAGCAATTTGTAGCAGCAAGAGGGGAGAATTAAAAATCAGATTTTGGGAACTAAAGGGTTAACCCTTTACACGCTAGTATCAGTATACAGTTTGGAGGATATTTTCTTCATACTGTTCTCCATATATTTCCTTAGGTGTCCAAAAGGAGAATTAATTTTTCAATCAAGAGCTTCTCTTATTGGTGATCATTCCCTTATATTCTCATGACCTTAATGTGTGTTTCAGGGGTGATATTGTAAGGAGAAATTAGAAGCTAATCACTCCAAGGTTTCAAAAAATTGAGGGTTACATTGTGCTGTTACTTTTCACAGGTTGTCCCCTACCACCACCCCCTTTTCCCAATGCACATCAGAAAAGTCAGTTGCCGCAAAACACTATAGGGAGTTATGCAGAATATGAATGTGATAAAGGCTATACTTCTGAAGGAAGACCAACAAAGATCCTGTGCGATAAGGACCATGATTCGCAAGGGTATTCCTGGAATGGTAACATCACTTGTGAAAGTAAGTGTTGTAATTGTTATTGCTTCGACATGTACCATCATTAGTAGTTCCCTGGTATTCATAAATTTATATATTTGGAACTGAAGGTAAAATTAAGTGAAGAAAGTTATCCTGATTTGAACAAAATAGGCATGCTAAAGTCATAGAAAATATTGATGTGCTTGAAAGGGTGATAATCCACATCTCAATTGGCACCTAAGGTATAGCTTTTATTATTGTCTATGATAAGATTATTATATTCTCTTAATAGTGTACTTCTATGATTTTTTTCTTTTCATCAATTATAATGTATATTATGCAAGAATTTGATACTGTAAAATATTTCATACCTATAAAGAGCCAATGGATTTTTTTGTAGAAGTGGCATTATTATTATTATTATTATTATTATTATTATTATTATTATTATAATCATGATCTCTTCTATTACAGTCTTTGCTGGTGCTCTATTCGTGTATCAGCCAGGCACAAACCATGCACCCAGGGCATCAGTCACTAAGTCAATCATTCTGTTCATATGCTAAGCACCTCTCTGAGGATCCGTGCTGATCCCAGCATGCAGATCTTATTATTATTATTATTATTATTATTATTATTATTATTATTAATAATAGTAAACTATCAGTATATCATTATCATCAATATGCCAACCTTAACAAGAGACAAAGCTTTTGTCTTTTTCTACTTTCATAATTTTTTTTGCTCTGTTTATGTATAATTTATGAGGGTGCTTTGTGTTACAGTGGCCTAACTCCATGAACAGAAATGAATGTGCAAAAGAAAAAGTGATCAATTTTCATATACAAAAATAATTTAAAACAATGATTAATTTTGCTTGATACATTCCACTCTGAAATGCATTTGAAACACAAATATACATAATTAACCCTTTAGCTCTCAAGATCTTATTATTCATAATTTTTCCTTAAACTAGTCACTAGAACTTGGTGTTAGATCTAGATAACAACTTCTACTGGAGTAAGTTTGAGTATCCTCATGACCTGTTTGCTGGATGTACACTGTAGTATGCATTTTATTGAGAGAAGTTACATGTAAGTCACTCTTGGGAGCCAAAGGATTTAAAATGATCCAAATGAATAATAAAGATGACATTTTGAAAATGGTACTTATCTAATATGTGTTTGTGCCTTCCAAATGGAGCCTTTTATTATTCATTTAAATCCAGAGAAATGAATCTAGGAATTTTAATTGTGGGTGTGTAAACAAGCAACTATTAGTTATGCCAAGTTTTTGTATATTTTGTTAATGAGATGAGTTCACAACAAAATTCAAAATTCTTACCTGGCTCACTGCTAATTTTCCACAAAACTGAACTGAAATGCAATAGTACCCAGCTGGTTACCAGTCAAGACAAGTGGCAAACATCTTCAGATATAGTTAATGGTGCTGCAGCATATTTATTACAGATTTGTCAATATTTTTTATTAATTTGCTTATTTTTTAATTTGCATTCATCAGAAATAAGATGTGGTCCTCCTCCAAAGATAGCCCACAGCAACGTTACCACTAGCCACAATTCAGATGGCACCATTACATATGCAACATACCATTGTTTTTCTGGCTATGCAATTCTGGACTTTAGAGATAAGCTACAACCTTCGTTTGTAATGTCATGTGATGAAGGACAACTTTGGGGAAAGATTAAAACCCCTAAATGTGGTAAATGTGCCATTTAGATAATGGAATTGCAAAGCTTTAAATGCCACAAGCAATATATGTACACTGGACATAGTACAATGTGTTTGAATTTTTCCCCAGAGAGTGACTGAAATAGGTCTTAATTTGTCTGTCTATCTAAGTGTCTGTTTGTTTATATACCTCTGTTTGGCTGATTTTACTGATCACTCATTGAATTATATACATGTAGTTATTTGTCTGATATGTTTATAATTCACACAATGTAGTTAATTGTTTATTGCCCAAATCTTTCCCAAGATAGGAGACTATGATATTTGAATTTTTCATGCAATCCCAACTCCATTGATCAATCAAAATTGATAACTTGAGTTTAGTTTTAAATACAATTAAAAGCGAGACTGTTCATTGTATATGAAAATATTTTTTTACCTTTCCCTTAAAATGATTTGATAATGTGGAAGATTTCAATCTCCCGGAAAACTTTTCCAATTTTGTGGGAGTTTGTTTGCAATGGGAATACATTCCTTTTGGGAACAGTGGAAACACTCCTTCTTACTTCATACAGAGGGATAGAAGTTTGGCAGAACTGGGCCAGTAGAACTAACTCGGAACACTTGCTGCGTAAAGTTTATGATTGTGAACTGGATGTAACACATTGATTCCTCTTCTTCTTCTCCCTCAGTGAAAACCTGCCGCACATCAGATGTAAAAATTGACCATGGTATCCTTAGTGAACCCCGCTATACTACTAAAGACGAACAAAAAATTTTCACAGAAAATGAGACTGCAACATTTTCTTGTGAAAGTCATTACAAGCTCGAAGGAAATAGTGAGCTGAAATGTATGGAATCTGGACTCTGGTCTGATAAGGCTCCACGCTGTGGTGTGTGAGAAAACAAATGTGTATTTGATTATTTTATGAAGTACTTTGACTTTGAATATATGAAAATCATATATGTGAACTGCAAATTAAGAAATGAGTTTGAAAGCGATCCTCGCAGTTATGAACTCTACTTAAGCAATAGTGAAAATAAGGGCTTAAGAAAATTTAGGCCTGTAGGTGATTTTTTTTCAGGCTTTTTTTTTTCACTGCTGCTTAAGTAGTGTTCATTACTGCAAAAATTTCATATTTATTGTTAACTACTTTGTCAAGTAGCAGGGCTTGAGTATTCTTGTTTTGTTTTTGTTTTTTGTTTGTCTTCCGTTTTGCTGTTGTTGTTTCTACTCTTTTCGTTATTTTTAAGATGTTTATAATATATATATTTAAATGTTTTTTTTCTTTTTTAAATTTTTAAATTTGTATGCACATCACCCTATACCCTATGCGTTTCCTGTAGTATTGTTGAAAAAATTAACAGCTTATTTAATTGTTTATCATTTCTCTTAATCTCATGACCACCGTGTTTGCTTTGTCAGCTGTGTTGCTGTAAGGAGAAATTAGGTGCTGGTTACTATTATGGGTTAAAAAAAATTGCATGTACAGGTATAACCCTCTTAACAACATCCGTACATAAAAGCGCTCACGGTTGAATGTCGTAGGGATAAAACAAAACAAAGTAATCACATCTGCCAATTAGAGCAAAGGAAGATGCCGCAAAAAGCCTATGAAAAGTGAAAGTGAAAACTACAAAAGCGCGGGAACACGCAACGAGTGACCAAGGCGAGATGGTTTAGCCTTGAATTTAATTGATTGAAAAAGTGGCGCGAGTTTTGTGTACCAATCACTTGATTATAAATGGTTTCATCCTGCAATTAGATAGGGATAATATACAACTTATAGACCAGGAGGAATTGTCTTGATGTCATGTTCATCTCAGTTTTAAACGAATGTATAACAGCTTCATGTAGAAAGTAAAGAATCAACTTAACCTTGCTGTATTATATTTTTTCCTTGATTCTTGCAGTGATAAACATCTGTACAAGTCCAGGAGATATAGAACATGGCAGGGTCACTTTTGATAACCATAAAGCCGATCAGACAACCTCTCCTATTGGGACCGTTGCCAGGTTCCGCTGCAACGTTGGGTTCAAACTAGTTGGTAATAGTACACGGCAGTGTCAACCGGGTGGCCACTGGAGTGGACAGCGTACCCCAATCTGTCAAAGTAAGCTGAGGAAATGATAGAAACCCAAGGCAAACCTTAACGGCGACGGGCTACGAGAACGTGGCAAAACAAAAGATCTACTGGGCAAAACAATTGTTCAGCATGTGCTTTTTAAACCTCTGTGCGTTTCTTGCGTGTCCTCTGCAAAATAGGAACGTGAAATCGCCAAAATTTACGTGTTGTGGGAACGAAACCCGAAGGCGAATTTAGTTCAGTTTCCATTTGGAACTCACTGCTGCTCACATACGTTGTGCTGAAGTTGAGATGTGGCGCGGCAAGAGTCGTTAAACACATCCAGCCATTCGTGAAATTCAATCTAAAAACATAAGTTCTTTTTTTTTTAATCAACTTCTTCCCGGCGCTGCCGTCCTGACTGCCTAAGGTCCCTAATACTTAGAGAAAATGACGGTAGGAGACCTGAAAGTGCTTACATGAGGGACCTGATAGTTTAAGCCTAAAATTACTAGAGAGAATCACCTAGAAGTTAAGCTAATTTAAGGTCGTCGTAAAACCAAAGCCATGATTAACTAGCAGTTTAATTAGCACCATGTGTATACGAGAAGCAGTGTGACATCAGCACTGGAAAATGAAACTTGAATTAACGCACAGCCATTTCAACTCTTTTGATTGCTAATGTGATTACTTTCAGAATCTATGCTGAAATGCGAGCAACAGAATCTTATCGACGGTGAATATCAACCCAAAAAAGCGAACTATTTCCTTCATGATAAAATAACACCGCATTGCAAACCTGACTACTATCTATGGGGGCCGCCGAGTTTGACCTGCTCGGACTTCGCTGACTCCGCTGTTTGGCTTTATCCAGGCTGTAATAACAAAGATGTACCTACGGAGTTATTTAATTGTAACGAGACCCCGGAGCCAGAGTGTGTAACTTCGACAGAATTCGATAAGAAGTGCGAAAACGTGGGCGGCCGTGCAACGCTTATATCGAAGAAAGGCAGGGATTCTATGATCTGTGAGAAGTTACCAGAGGAGCCTGGTAAGTTACATTTTTTTTGTGTAGTACATCTGCGTACTACTTATGGGAGTGCGCTCTTGGTTACAAGACAAGGCCTCTCTCAACTCAGGAGTACTAATAGTTACTATAATATAGGAAAGGAAACCGCCTGGTGGAAAAGAAGCTGCAATTGAGAAGTCGAAAGTAGAACTGCCTCGAAACCCCCTCTTATGTTATGGTTTGTTTTTTCTCTTTGTTTTTTATCCATTTGTTTGTTTATATGACTTTTGCTTCTCTCAAAGATGTGCCCGACGATTCTCAAAAGCCAAATAGGGAACTGGATAAGATGACAATTGTTATCGCAAGTACAGGCTCAACCTTGGGTGCTTTGGTAGTTTTATTGGCAGCCCTATATTGCTTTCGGCAACGAATCCGGCGATTGCGGCGCCCTTCGTACAGGAGCCGACGATACAGCGACGATGATAGGATTGCGTTCATTGCGTACGCAGGAGACGTTCATTTTATTTTGCCATCGTATGATGAGGCTATGAGTCAAGTGGAGCGCTCCCCGCCTCCGTTTGAATCAGTTGTAGGAGGCGCTCAAGGAAGTGCCAATCGATCTACAACAGACAGAAATGGTAATCAGAGTACCAACCAGTCTGGTAATACAGGGTTAAATCATACGGCTACAAGTACAAACCCTGCAACCGAAGGCGATGACTTAAGAACTGCTCAAGAATTAGCACAAGGACAGTCGATCCGTGTCGTTAGTAACCCATTAGCGGAAAACGTGCGTGATACGATTTGTAGTTCAACAACACAAAACGTCGATCACGTATCCAGTAGCGAAAGCACAAGAAGAATTGGTTTCTCCGATGAACGTGCATGTGTTAACGCTCCTGGTGAAGAGCCTTCGCCGAATCGTCCGTCCGAAGATATCCCGAGCTGCTCCTCGGAAGAAGATCTCACATCCAATCAAACGCAGCCGTTGCTCCCGAGCAGCCGGAGTGGCGTTATGGCGTGATGAATATCTGGGATTTGATGTAACGGAACTTAAATGTGTTGAAGGCTGTATTCAGTGTCGGCTGCTGTTAAATTGTCGATTCCAACAAATGATCAGTCGATAGAAAGAGAAAGGGAAAAAGAGAGAAAAAAGAGGATCAAATGCCAAATCTTCGTGGCAGGGTTCATCTGATTGGAGCAACAGCGTTAAAATTATGGAAACTTAAGGGCAATTTCTGCTCTTGAAATAGGACGTGATGCTTGATTTTTGTTTGTTTGATTGTTTATTTTTGCAATTTCTCATCTTTATTTTTATATTCATTGTTATTTCTATTCACTGTATTTGTTCCTTAGAAGTGCAGGGAATTGAAATGAACGCCGTTTTAACCAAAGGAAAGAGACAGGCCCCAACACGTTCTATTTCCCTGTCTCTTCTCTTTCTCTCTCGTTATGTCCCCTAACTTTTGATTGTTGCAGCCACGCCTGAATACAATATTAACAAAGGAAAGCTAAATTACATAATTACTATCTCATAAAATAAGTTATTTTTTCGATGAAACGATTACTGTTTTGCCTCAACTTATATTTTGAGTCCTCAACGGATGTAGCTACATGTATATTTTGAACAGATATTTTGTGTCCATGTCTTGTGATTGTTCTCTTTTGCCTGTAAAGCAAACTTAAGGAATCATTCAACTACCTTTTACCAAATATCGATCGTTCTCACGCCATATTTTCAAGTATATTAATAGGGATAACTGGTTAGAAAAGCCGGAAAACATTGAAGGCGATAAAAAGATCCAGTGAACCATTTTTCATCTTTTTTTTTTTTTCTTTTCGGAATGAATTTATGGAAGTGTGTCTTCCTTTTAGCTTAACACAATTGATATATTCGAATGCGTCCAGCTCAGTCATGTGCAAGAAACCAAGCAAAAACATACAGCAAAGAAATTTTGGACTCATTTTGAGGGTTTCCTAAGCAGTTACTTTTGTTCATTATGGTTCAAACGAAGAACAAATAGTTTCCAATCATCGCACACCGTGAACTAAAGCAAGCAATTTATTTGCTGCCTTTCAATGTCTGAACATTTTCGTAAAGTGAGTAATATAACTAATATAACAGTTGCAAATCTAACAGCAGTAATGTAAATAGTCCATTCTCCATTGATTTTGGAAGATGTTATCAGTAGTAGGTAGGTTGAAAATTTATATTTGTTGATGTAACATCCTAAATTGTATCGGTAGTTTAGTTTACAGGCCTTAGGTCATGAAGGTCTATTTTCGGTTGTAAAACCCTAAACATTTTCAACGCTTATTCTCAATAAAAGACCCAGAGTTAGAAAGATTCTCAAGGACCTTTCTAAAAATGTCACTGGAATGATAACCAATTAATATTAAATTATTCAGGATGTGTTTAGCGCCTTGACAAAATTCATGTTACCCACTCGTTTTACTTGCCAAGGAGATATAATTATGGATCAGCTGATATCTATTTGGTGTGTGCTATAAACCCACCTAAAGAAGCTTCTGTCTTAATAAAACTTTCCAGACTGTCATTTGTCAGCTAAGTCGAGCCGCATTTACAAAAAAAGTTGCTCGTATTACCAATTTGATCTTTAATAGTTGCTATTCAACCTTGCCAATTTTTTATTTTTATTTTCGCCCACCAGAGAATCTGCTCGAAGGAATGAAACAAAAGTTTTCTTTGCTCCTTTTAATGCCTGCCTTGCGGGGATAAGAAACTTAACCTATTACTCCGATAGTCTACGTAGAAATTAAAACTCTGTTAGCGGTACTTTTCTCGTGACTTGAGCTATGAGGATTCGGCGTTAAACCATGCAATATCTTATCTCTCTGTTCGTGACTGTATCTATAAATATTGCATGGAGAAATTTCTCGCAGGTCTGCTAGGAGAGTGGAAGGGTTCATCTGGGTGCAGTTACCTACACTAGTTCTGCCTCTCCGATGCTCCTTACCGTTCACGAACTGAGTGCTCCAAAAAGAGTTGCAGTCGAAAGGAGTTGTCAACTAATTTCAATCAGTAACTAATTGAAGAAAAAAAAAGCAGCAAGAAAGAAAGATTTGAGAAATATCTCAACACCATGTGAAACGCAAAAAAAATACAAAAACTAATACGACTACCTTTGGGAAGTTTCAACCCGCGCTTTTGACTTCCGGTTCTGTTTTTGAAAAACACTACGTTGAGATCTTATTTTTCAGTTTTGGAAAAGTTTTTAATTTAATTGTTTCTCATGCTCTGATAAGAAGGACATAAATCTAACCCATCTTTCTAGCTTTGAGGTCATTTAATTGGCGCTAAAAAAAAGTCATTTCTCAAAGTATTACTGAGAAAATGGTTTATTGCGTACTTGGTTTAGTCTCCAAAGCGATATCGATGACTACAATAAAAAGCCTGCATGGCCTGGGAGTTGACCGCAGTGGAAATGAACTTGATAGAAAAAATCGGGGGCTGTATATCTTGAGTAAAGTCAAGATCTTGATTGAGAGAATTAGTAGGTAATACGGACGAATTTTGAGACGCGTGGAAAGGGGTAGCTATCTTGTTCAGAAATGTAAGACGAAACTCGCCGATGGCCACTTACAGGGAAATTTAATTAAAGAAACAGCGTAGGACTTAGAATTGGTCATATGAATATTAAGATAACCCTTCACGTTTGAAAGGGATTTGTGAATACATAATTAATCGCAACAAAATTAAACCGGCCTTTTGGAGGGAAAAAAAATAAAGAAAACTTAAAAAAACACAGACAAAAATTGCCAGGATTCTTATCTTTTAAAAAATTCCATTATTACTTTAAAAAATTCACCTATACACAGTTCCCTTAATAAGAGAAGCAATAAAAGTTGTCTTTCAACCATCACTTGATGGCCAACTCTTCAACGATATTCATATGGGTGGTTACACGCCACGTAATTTTCAGTCAAGCGATTAATAAACCCTTAAATTGTAAAATCTAAGTACTGAATACATAGAGTGTATAATATATTAACATCAACGAAAACAATATTAGTGATAACGCTAAACGAAACTCCATGAGTTCAATAAAGTCGTTAGATTCACCTGACCTTAAAAATGTGTGGAACTCTTGAAAATATACATTTCGAACTCCTTCACTTGAGATTATTCTGAAAACCGAATCATATTATATTCCAATTTGTACATATAGTGTAAACTTTGTTCTATGTTATAACTCATAAAGTACATGCAAAGATTAAGCGAAGGCTACACTAAAAGTAACTTTCCAAATTTAGTAATTGACTGTATCTACATTCAAGAGTGAAGTAATCTTACATTAGAAATATTCACCCTAATCTCTTAAGGTGAAATACTCCGATAGGAAATTGAAATCAATAATTACGACAATTTTATCTTTAACCGAAGTAGTGATCTTCGAAAAACTGCACTTGATCGTTCGGTAATCAAGTAAGGTAGGAGGTTACAGCAATCAATTATTCATGTTGTTATTTTCATGAAGCAGTGTTACTTTCATTTGCGGATCCGTTGAGAACACTTGAATTCGATCATTTCCCCAGTCACTGACAACGATTTGGTCATCATTCAAAAGAGCGACGCCCATTGGGCGATCGAACTGTCCGGGTGATTTGCCCTTGGAGCCGAACGAATTCAAGCATATACCATCGAATCGGAAGAACTGAACGCGATGATTATCAAAATCGCAAACCACTATTCGGTCAAGTCTGTCCACAGTGATTCCACGAGGACTGTACAGCTCTCCTTTCTTGACTCCGGGCTTTCCAATACTGTACAAGAATTTTCCTTTAGGTCCGAAAACTTTGATAACGTTATTACCGGTATCCGATACGACAAATCGCTTTCGTACATTGCAAAAGGTCACGGCTCTTGGGTGCTTTAATTTGTTCTTCACCATATCTCCAAATTTAAAAAGAAATAGGCCATCAGAGGAGAACACTTGGATTCGATGATTGTTCCAATCAGCGACGATGATTCGACCTTCACCGTCCACGCAGATACCCGACGGGCCATCGAACTGTCCATCGCCACTTCCCTTTCGACCAATTTTTCGAATTAATTTGCCTGTTTTGATGCTGTACACAAGCAAGCGATGATTGTCCCTGTCAGCTACGATGATGCTCTTCTCGGTCATGTCGAACGCGACTCCTACAGGGTAACTAAGCTCGTCTCCTCCAAAGTCCATTTTGCTCACACCATCTGGACTCAGCAGATGGACGCAGTGTTTCTGAGTGTCGGAGATGGCAATGTCTCCTGTGCTGCTTATGGCTAATCCGTGTGGTTGGGTATAAAGGCCATTTGCACCAGAGACGGAACCAAAAGACTTGCACGGCAGCATGACTGGAGGCTTGATATTAACCTCAAATGGACTCTCTTGTATATGCTGGTCTCCCACTTTAACAGACAAGGAGTAAAGGCCCTCCATCTTTGGAACATATGTGACTTCGTACAATCCGCTCTCCGTGTCTTTGACTTTAGCTTCAATGACGTCTCCGTTGTTAGACGTGGCGTGGACTGTGACGCGGTCTGCTAGACTGTAGCATTCATCGCCGTTTAAATCACGAGTCGTTACCACAAAGCACGATTCTTCCCCAACGAAGGCAGTCCTTAGCCCTTCGCCATCTGCAAAGCAGGAAAGAGGATCAGCTTTGCCAGTGACAATGTTACCGAAAGACGCAGATTCTTGAATGCTAACTAGCGACGGATTGGGAATGTACGCCAAGGCTGCCCCTTCCACTGGTCGCGTGTCGACAATTAAATCGCTTAAAGTCTCCAGTCGGGAGATCACGCGATCTCTCAGCATCATGACCTCCGCTGCGAATTCTCGACCCAGAAGAGAATCAACAAACTCGAGTGAACTTGTAGTTTGACTGCTTAGCCTCTCAAAATTTCGCTTCTGCATCAAAAGTTTGTCTTTCTTTTTCATTCGGATATCTTCTAACAGCTGAATCATTTCTTCGCCATGACTGTTGAGCACTTTCACCAGATTAGCAACTTTAGCATTCACTTCATTCTTCAGCTCGGCCACGCACCTATCGATTTCGTCCATGCGATTTTCCGTGTTACGAATTCCCGTTTGAATCTCGCGGAATTTACCACGAACGATGGCGGCCTTCTCGCTGATTTCTACACTGCTTCTGTCGGCTATTTCTTGAATGTCGCTTGTGGTATGATATTCTTCGTCGATGATGTTACAGAGGCCGCACATGTAGCTGTTACATTCCGGGCAATAAAACTCGATACCCTCCAAATCTTTTCTTTCGTGTTCACAATAAATCGGTCGCCTGTAGAACCTTTCGAAGTCGGCGCTGCGGAACTCGCGCAGCTTCCGTTCCCAATGCTTCTTTTTCATAGTCATCTGCGTATGCGCTTTAGTACAGGCTGAGCAAAGATACGCATCACAGTCGAAACAGAACGTTTCTAGAAAGGTTACTTCATTACAGTTGTGACACTCGCCGGGTTGATCTTTCAACTTCTTAAGCGTGTTGAGGTCTAGGAGCCTATTGAGATGAAAATCCGATGGCGACTCTGATATTTCAAACTCTTGGCTTTCAACCGGTGCGGTCTCTTCGGTTTCGCAGACTGGACATCGGAAAGAACGTTTGGACGAATGCTGGCTCCACAATTGCTCCAAGCATTTGCGGCAAAAGCTGTGCAAACAAGGCGACAATCGAGGATCATTGAACGCGTCGGAACACTGAGGACAGGTTATTGAAGTCTTCAGGTTTTTGAGAATGCTTTCCATTGTATTGTTGTGCATAGGACTTGTAGCTTAGGAACAAGAAGAGCTGCCGAACAGTTCTACAAAGCCGAAAGAAACGTCCGTTGAGATCAAAAGGTGTAAATGGTCAACAACAATCACGTTGCGATCACAGGAAGCTTAAGAATTACGACAGCGTGTTCTCCGAAGTCCCGATATCTCGATATCTCGATATCACGACAAGCTATATAAATAGATACGTTATGGATCACGAACTAGCAACCAACTTCGTCCCTTTTTCACGAAACAGACGATTTGCAGTCCAACCGGACATCAATGCACAAATCAACACAAAAAATAGCACAAATAGTCAACATAGCAGGCAGTTAAATATTATCTGATAGTTTATGTGTGGTATGAGGGTGCCTTTAAGCTGGATCACGGGTGAGTAATCACGCGCTTTTCGAGCTAATTTTTAAAATCGTTTGCATATGTAAATCTTCGGAAGATTAGCACCCACGCGAAGCAATTATATCGTGTGACGCAATGGTAAAAGCATTTGAACAACTTACTAATTTGAACTCTATCGCTGCCGATTCGTTAAGTCTTTTTTGACAGCATTCGGCTCGACATCTCGACGATTTGAATACCTTCCTGTCCGCGACTGTGTTTTCATGTTTTTTTCTACTGTATTGCATATTTCTTTGCTAAATCAAGAGCGCCAGATGTTCATTAATTTTCACGCCCATATCATCCGATCGTCATCCGTATATCGGACTGTTTGCCTCGTGGAAATGAAAAAAATGAGTGGAATCGCTTTTTAGGACTTAGTACCGAATATAAGCATCTAAGGAAGAAGTGCTCAAATCGAGTACTACTGGAATGAGTGAAAGGACCAACTTATTTCCCTATTCTCCTATTTCTGTAGAAAGGCTGCAATCAGTTGTTGGTATATCATTTCAACACTTCAAAAATTACATTTACACTCTTTACGTAAACGATCATTACAACGTAAAACTAAATAAAAACTCATAGGGAGGTACAATTAAAGATATATTGCCACTTAACCGAAAACAGTCATGAAATATATCCGCTTGTCAACGTGCATGTAGGATGCTCTTTTTCAATCCATTATGCAATAACTTTGAAGCCATGAAATTTATCCTGTTATATTTCCGCGGGAAAAAAAGATGTTTATCAATTTATTCGCGTGATAGACTCACATTTCGTGAAAGAGGGTTTGCTAATGAGTCAAGAAATCCAATATCTAAACAAATCCTAAAATGATATCGGCTGGTAGAGGCTATAAAACTGAGACAATAATGCTATAATGGGGTGTTAATTCGTCTGTTTGTCACTTGTTATCATACATGCACAGTTTACCCTGAAACAGCTGTACATACGCGCATGTTTTAGAGTATGTTTAAAAATTATTCTCAACTAGAGCTAAAAATATACAATTAATAAGCTTCATAAGTATCTTAGTTTATTTTAAACAAATACATGAACAGCAGTAGCAGAAATGCGTGATCATAAGGTCGACAACCAATCTGAAACAAATGAGAACACGTCTATGAATTAATTTTATAACATGGTTAGGTGCAAAACATACAATATCAGTCATGATAAGGATATTCTTTTAAAGGAGCCATCCTTATCGTATAAAGAGTATGTCCCTCCCCTGCAAGACAAACTTTCCGTTCAGGAATACCTCAGATCAAGTCTTCCACTGCTAAAATTTTTAGGTCAATATGGCTAGATATTATTCCAGCTCTTATTTCCTTATCCCTCTCTCACTGTCTTTATTTTTATCTAACTATTGATATACTTTTTTCACTATGTTTTAGACGGTTTTTCATGGTACGAAACTGCTTTTATAGACCGACTGAGCAACACTTCTGGTGCAGCTAAATATAACTGTCTCCTCACCTAAAACAGTCATAAAATATTTTCTGATATCAATGTGTGCAACACATTTGATAAGCGAATTTTTTTAAGTTTTAGTTATCGCTTTCAATTCTAATCAGTTTTCATCGCGTCGAGGAAATGAATGCTCGTGTATCAGCTAATGCCTTTTAGAGCGCTGATTTTTGTTAAAAAGAAGGTTGGCAATAAATTTGTACAAAATGAGGTATATATACAAACACTTGGATTGATATTACGGAAAAATAAACAAACTTTATTTTTCTCAGATCATTCCGTAAATGGGTCTTGATTGATACCTGTGACGTCAATGGAATTTCGACTGTTTGTTACTTGTCATGAAACTAATTCGCCGTTAATCATTTCTACATGAGTAAAGTCTATTTAAAGAAACTCCTATCAAAGCAAGTGGGATGGCCGTGTTTGTTAATTTACAACGAAACGAACTCTGCCCTCACTAGGGAGCCGCTTCCGGACATGATAAACGTCGCCACTTTGTTTACGTGCGCGCGCCACTCACTCGCAGCAAGGAAGCACTTACAGTGGAATTAGTGTAAGACTGCTTATTGGCAAAAAATCTGTGTTCTTTAGAAATGAATGTCACATCGATCCAACTGAAAACAGCTCCAGATCCTTCGATCACCATAGGCAAATACAGGTGCGCATATACGAGAGTTCACAGTCTTGGGTGGCTTGGTGCAAGGAGGCCTGACCAGTTAGTGATGTTGTCATGCCACTATTTGTGCTAGACTCCCCTGTCCTCTGCTTCTTTTACCAACAGTGATACCATCTTGATCTTTCAAGAGAGGATACACTTTATCCTCCCTTGGATCCTTGGATTAGTTAAGGGTTTTTCTTGTTTGGAATCTCCGAATGAAGAGCAGCACCTTTTTTATATATGCAGGAATGTTCGGCACTAAGGGGAGTAGAGGCGGGCCTTTTAAGGCCCGAAGTAGTAAGGTAAGCTAGACTAAGGCATTTATTTAAGCCCGGAGTTGAGTACTATGGCTATACTCCGAGGAACCGGGAACCGGGAACCGGAACTGATTGAGATGATTTTTTCATTCATTTATTTATCATTATACACCTATACAATAGGATGGGCATAACGCTTATTTTGATCTAGGCTCGAGTAACGGTACCCGCACTCCTCTTTTATTTTCTTAGCCTGAGATTAGGTCCTTATCATATGCGCTTCGGCAGGATTGTTTTTTCGCTCGCGAGAAAATTTGAGACCGTAGGGCAACGGTCTCTAAGGAGTTTAGCACTGACAATTCGTTAGTGCTAAATCCATTGCCAACCTCTCCCTGACTCGTCTCAAATCTTTCCACGGGAGGAGAAACGCGCCTCCTGCGGCGCTATCAAAAAGATCCCTTTCTAAACAGACTCTAAAGATGATTTGCGGCTTTTGCAAAGTCTGTTACGAGTTGTTACACGTACACAATGCAAGGAACGCCATTTTTCGCAATTTCGCTCTCTTCGGAGTGAAAGGTCTTCAAATGAACGGAAACATTTCGGTTTATGTACTTTCGTGTGGACAGACCCGCTGCTTTTTTCTGTACTAAATTTCCTCTCCTCTGGGCCAATAAAGAAATCTTTTTATGAATACAATTCAATTATGATAATATGCATGCTTCCGATATTCCGTTACGATTCTTCTAAAGTCAATGAAAACACAAAAGTTTTGGACCCTATTTAGCCATACCTGCGCGGAAGAGGGGATCGACTGTTTCTCCCTCGCCAAGAGGAAAAGATAGCACAATAAAGCCGTTGCTCTTGCCGGATATTAAACTTGAGCGATACCAAGCATTGTTTTGACAGTTTTCCCTCCGGTTAGTTCACATCACTGTTGCTCCCTTTCAGATAAAACTCAATAAATAGCTAAACCAGCTTGAAAACTCTTCATAGGTCATTTAAAATAAGTATTGGATCCGCTAGTCACGCCATTGCGTGACACTTTTATGCCAACACTACCAGCCAATAAAAATTAACCTTGAAGAACAGCTCCACCGATACGTAGAGACAATTAGTGCATTCTGTCAAGCGTAAATTTTGCTGGCGTCTTGCTTTGGGAAAATGTTACACGTATCGTTTTTTAACGCGACATAACAAATCGAATCGATATGTCCGACTGTTTCCTGAATAACTTGTGACTGAATAAATTGAGACATATTTTTCTCAGTGATACGGATGTTATTGGAGATAACAATAATATATTTTAAAAATACGAACTGTTATATTTGCATACTTTCCCTGTTGTTATAGTTTTATGGATATTCGAATTTTAGCAAAAGCACTACTCACGTTGTATAAAGTTCACTTTCTTTGTATGTATCATGTCAGTTATTAGCGAGAGAATACATTGTGTCACCCTGCCATTAACTAGAAACGGAGTTGTTCTAGAGAAGCAACCAATAAAGGCCACTTGAACATGTGGCAGGCGTCTCGTGTAATCATACTAAATAAGATCGAGTAGACTAAACGTTTCATCAATGGATTAAATTCGGATTCGAACGATTCTCCAAAACTAAAGCAGTTTTTTGGCTTAAAACCGTGACCTGAGAGAACATACGAAACTCCACGTGTTTTTTAATAGAAAAGATATAGTGAAATAGCATGCTAATCAATATTCAGACGTTGTGCCTTATCATTGATGTGGACATTGTTTTGTGAGGGAAAACAATAAGATTTCATTAGTTATGACAGTTCTTGGCGTGGGAGTATGCAATGTTTTTGAGAGGTTGATATATGGCGCGAACTTTACTCCTTTATGTTGGACTTTCTTCTCCGTTGACGTTCTGGTGCATTCGTGCGCGAGTAGAATGAGATTAAAAAGAAACAGCTTCTCAATCAGAAGGCAAAAAGGAAACCTCAGGTTTTCCTTGTTTATGACAATAGCAGGTCAAGACAAAAGCAAATATACGATGAAAAGGTGTCTCAGTTGAATAAACAAGAAAAGATATATTTGCTTTCACTAACGTGTCAAACGATCTCATCTTAAAACGAAAGCATTACTGTTTGAGTGAGCAAATACCGTACATCTTAAGAACATCTTAAACATTCGATGGAGGTTTAGCAGGCGTTGATTGTTTAAACCCGATTATCGTTTCATAAACGTCTCCGACAGGCTCAGCGG